AGCCAGGCTCTGGCAGCCAGGAGATGCTGCGTGAATCATCGTGTGAGCTGCGATCCTGGAGTGCACACAGCACACAGCAAACATGCAGCACACAAAATGGCCCATCAAAAATATGTCCCTGGTAACACACATGCCATCTCATGAAAAGCCACACTTGTGAGGAGAAAAATATCACCTTGCGCTTTTAAACCACTCTGGCTTTTCATTCATATGAAAAATGTTTAATTGATGCAGAAAACAACAACATTCATTGATAGTTCTGCTGTCTAACAAAACAAGCAGGCAAAAAGCAAACAAGCCAAAAAGCACTATTAATATGAAAATATATGTGAATGCATACTCACAATTTTTACACTATTGAAATCATTAACATATGGCATCCTAATTTGTCTACTTATAAACCATTCTTCATGTCATGAAAATCTTTTGTGTAGATCCTTTTCCTTGTCTATACCAACCCCATTCCTGTAGAGCCAGTTACATATCATCATAGCCCCTCCATTAGGTTTCTAGCACTGTAAATCTTAAATGGCTCTGGTGGCCTACTGGCAAGAAACTGTGGTGTAATTCCAAGGGTGTGCAGTTTGAATCCACCAGCTTCCCTGTGGAGAAGGATGGGCAAACTCTTTCTATGTGATTTGTTGCCTCTGAAAAACCTGCTGGAGTGGTCAGCTCTGACTCTATGAGTCATGGGAGGTGACTGTTCATCTCTCTACCAAGGAGTAACTGGTGGATTTGAACTGCCAGACTTTTGATTAGCAGTATGACATGTTATACAGTATATCACTTGTATTCTTGTTATGTGTAATGAAAATATTCACTTATATTGAAATATTGAGGTTGCTTTTCTTTTCAGCCATTGCAAACACTGATGTAATAAATATTTTTGGTATAAAGCTTTGCCTCAATTTTAAAGTTTTTCCTTGGCCATATTCTAAGAAGGAATATTTATTGATCAAAGGGCATGAATAATTGTAAAACCCCTGATACATTTCAGTAAAAACAAAAGCTGATTTTCTTTTCTAATTTTTAGAAATGTTTAACTCATTTCATTTCTAAAAACAAAGAGTAATTTTACATTACGTTAATGATTTCTGACAGATATGACTTAATGCTTGTAGCATCAATAACTGCTGCTCCTAACAAACATTCTTAATAATTCCTTAAAAAGTATGAGTAACAAAACAGCTATGAGATAACATCTCACTCTAGTAGCAATAGCAAAATTCAAAAGAGAAGCAAACAACAAATGCTGGTGAGGTTGTGGAGAAACTGGAACTCTTATTGTCTGTTGGTGGGAGTGTAAAATAGTGCAACCACTATGGAAGGCTGTATGATGCTTTCTCAAAAAGTTGGAAATAGAAATATCATTTGACCCAGCAATTCTATACTGGGAATATACCCTAAAGAAACCAGAACTGCCACCCAAGCAGATATATGCACACCCATGTTTAAAGCTGCATTGTTCACAAAAGCAAAGAGTTGGAAACAACCCAAGTGCCAATCAACAAACAAATGGCTAGAGATACTATCGTATATTCACACAATGGAATACTATGCTGCACTGAAAAACAATGAACTCATGAAATATTAAAAAAATGGGTGACCATGAGGACATTATGATGAGTGAAATATCTCAGTCACAAAAGGACAAATACTGCATAATGTCACTGTTATAAAATGGACTGACACAGGGATTGGGGGAAAACTAAGAAAAGAGGGCATAAATAATGTACATGGCATTGAAACAGATGAAGGAGAGAACTGTATGAAAGGAATATATGATTAGGTATTATTGGCATGACAAGAGTCCAGAATAAGAGCTGCATAGTAAAGTAGACTGGGCGGGAGGAGACACACGGATGATTGTGTAACAACGAAAGAATATTTTTGGTTTTTTCCCAAAGAGAAAAGCGAACTGGAGGGGAGGAAGGGGAGTGAGGAAAATGTGCAACAATGAGTGAATGGAAATCCAAGTTCTCTATAAACTTTTCATTAAAATCTCAATTAAAAAAAAAGAATGGATAAGAAAAAAAGTTTCTGCCAAACATTTCCAATTCTTGAGATGTTTTCATTTAAAATTTTTTTAAATTTATTTTTTTTACCGCAGTCTTAATTAAAGTTTATAGAAAAGTACAATTTTCTTTCATTCATTCATTATTGCACATTTTTTTCTCTCTACTCCCTCCAAGTTCACTTTAAAAAAATATTAATTCGGCGAGCTCTGGTGGCCTAGTGGCAAGAAGCTGCACTACAATCCCAGAGATGTGAGGTTTGAATCCACCAGATGCTCTGCTGAAGAAGGAGGGACAATCTCCTCCTGTACCAGTCAGAAATGATTTGATGGTACACACATTTAAAAAAAAGTAATAAAAATTAAAAAAAATATTAATTCATTGCTGCATAATTTCCTCCTTCTCCCCCCCACTCCCCTGTGTAAAATATATTTTAAGGCGTTTGTGGAACAATGTGCTGCTAACCATGTCTTCAGTGGTTCAAATCCACCACTGGCTCTTAGAAAGAAAGACGGGCAATTTACAGCCTCTGAAAAGCTGCAGGAGGGTCAGTAATGAGAGGGTTCCATCTCAACGGCAATGAGTGAATGAGTAAGACAGACTTATTCTGTGAGGATTTACTAATGCACATATGTTAAAAATTAAAATGAAAAGGAACTGTCTCACTTTTAACTTTTCTTCATTACTATGAACACATTTAAAACTAGAGCTACTCTCTTTTGTTAAATCTGTATTGTTCTTTTTGAAAGGTCTATTTTTCTTCAGTGCAAATGTTCCGTTCTTCTCAGTTATTGGAGAAGAGAACAAAAATGAGTTGGATGAAAGGCAAGAAGAGAGAGAGAGGGATAAGGAGAGAGAGAGAGAGAGACAGAGAGAGAGAGAGAGAAACAGCCTAGCATCAAGCAGAGTAGACACCAATCTCATAAAAAAAAGTGCAGTGAGACTGGGAGGAGGGAGAGTGCCCATCTGAGGGAAAGACAGTTTCTGACAGAGCCCCCAGGAATAGGGGAGAAGGGTGAGCCAGGCAGAGAGATTCTGGAAGCATCTGCAGAGGGGTACAACTGATGATGTCTATTTCCTTGGCATGATAGTCACTCTGCTTCCTCTCACTCGATGAGGCTCCAGCCTCCTCAGTGGCTTGGAGCGCCCACTTTCTACTATTTCCTGATTTACTTCATTGCTTTTCAGTCCAGAAGTATCCTCTAGCCACAGCTAAGCTACTTGTCCTACCAGTGCTAGTGCAGGGGGTCTCCTCCTCCAGGAAGCCTTCCTGACTAGTGCTGAGCTTTCCACATTCAGGGGCCTGTCTCCTCAACTCTGGGCAGGGAGGGGCTGGCCTGGTTGTATCTGCTGTCAGCCTGAGCCCAGAGGCTGGTCTGGGAGGTACTCAGGGGAACCCTGCTGGGAGGGACAGAAGTGACACAGAGACAAAGCAGAAGGCTGAGGATGGAGCCTGACCACCATCCCCTGACAGGGAGGGATGCCAAGGAGACCCTGCAAGCAATGGAGGAGAGAGGGCAAGCGAGACCAGAGGAGTGACATGAATATCACTCAAGACCAAGAGAGCAGAGTTTGGGGATTAGGGTTTTTAGCAAATTCCTGTGAGTGGTCCTTTTTGGGCAGCATTTGGGGAAAGTTGCTCCTTTAGGACGTGGTTGTTGAGTGTGCCACTGAGTTGAAACTGACCCTCTGGCTGGTCTGCAGAGATTGTAAATCCCATGGGAGGAGACGGCCTAGCTTTCTCCCAAAGAGCAGATGGTGGATTAGAACCACTTGCCTTTGGATCGGCAGCACAACTCCTTAACACTAGGCTACAAGTTGTTGTTTGCTATAGAGTTGGACCTGACCCACAGCTGACCCTCCAGCAAGTTTTCAGAGGCAGTTAACTGCACGAGAGGAGATTGCCCATGCTTCTCTGTGGAGCAGCTGGTGGACTTGAACAGTGTGCCTTCGGGACTGCAGCACAGCTTCTTACTACAGGGCCACCAGAGCTCCCTCAACGCTTCTAGAGTGTCTTGAAATAATTTTTGGAAGAGTATATTTCCCACTCTGCATTCTGGGGAGCACTAGGTCTGAGAAATTAATGTGCACTAAAGTAAGATTTCACACTCTTCAAGTTATAAGGGTCGCTATAAGGTATGTCTGTATCTAAGTACGGTAAAGACTGCGAAAAGTGTTGCAGAAAATAAATGATGTAGGTTTTATTTAATCTTGGCCTCTGGAAGCCTGATCTGGAGATACGGAACCACGAGGTCAAGCCTGGAGCCACTGTAGGAAAACCCACAGACTGGCCTTAGGGGATTCTGGCCCCACAGGCCCCTGGCTCCCTGCTCGGACCTGGTCCTGCTTCAGTGCCCACATCACCTTCCATGTTCCTCTCTGCCTGTGTGAGAGGCCGTGTTTCAGGTTCCCAGCCGTCAGGGCTGAGCAGAACAGAAAGTGACCTGAAATCCCAGCCAACAAGGCTCTACCCCACCGGAAGAGCTGACCACAGGACAAGAAATGCAGGATTATGAATGAAAAGAGCATAAGCCAAATCAGCTTTAAATTCCCTCAAAAGTAGGTTTCCTTATCTGCTTCTTTGTAAACCATTTTACGAAGCTTCCAGAATGGCTATAAAAGGTCAGTGTCTCTGCTGATGTTTCATAATGGCACACTGAAAAGGCTAAAGCTTTTAAAAAGGACCCCAGCACCCCTCCCAATTGATCCCTGTGCGGCCTTGAGTGTAATCCATGTCACAAGTGCAAATCACAAGGAGAGGTAAGCTCATGTGGGGCACAAAGTGCCAAATTAGCATAACAATTTATAAAGGGTATTGGTGACAGCTGCTGGTTTATCCAACCTTTCAATCTCACAGGCAAAAACTGGGCGGGCCTGATTCGTCCCAATCCAGAGCACTGGAGTCAGGTCCCCAAGACTGCACCGTGGGGGTTCTCTCAGGAATGCAGGACATCTCCCTTCCACGACAAGGGGGTCAGCACCCACCTGCAGAGGCCGGGCAGCGTGGCTTGTGGCCAGGGCCTTCCATCAGGGCCAGGGATCTGAGCAGTTCGCTGTGGTGGTGCCTGCATCATAAACACAGGGCTCAGCTGCCTGCGCCCTCCAGCCCCCACCCACAGTCACCCGGGGGATCCTGGACTTAGACTTGGTCAAGGTCACTCGCTCTCCAAATACCCAAAGGGCCTTCTGTGAGCCCACGGGCTCGAGCATGTCAAAAATGAGGAGGGTGGTAGAGCACAGGGCAGGGTTTAGGTGTGCTGTTCATAGAGTTACTATGAGTTGTACTTGACCGTGGCTAACAACCACCATCACCCGTGTGCCAGGCACCATGCCAGGTGCTAGGGTGGGAAGCAGATGCCACCAGGGTCCTCACAAAGTGCCCTGTTCAAGCCAGCTCACTGTTCAGTGAGGGGACCTGGAATGACTACAAATCAACCATTGTCTTTCAGTCTTTCTCACTTTTTAATCAAGGAGATCAATGCTTAGCAGCAGATGAAGACAAGAGCTATGGTGAAGCCGGCAGAACTGAGTCAGAAAGACTCTCCTGGTTTTGTCACTTAGATCATCTTGGAGCCTCTTGTTTTTCATTTGTAAAGTGGGGATAATAATACCTACTTTTGAGACTTTTGTGAGCGCAAATGAGCTAACAGACACTGAGCACCTGTATAGTGCACAACCCCCAGCTCACTCTCAAAGGATGGTTATAAGCTTGCAAATCAGAATTCACCAGGATGGAGGCCAAGGGTCAGGGCACCGGAGCCAGACTGTCTGGACTGAGTCTCGCCTCCCCAGCTGGCTGCTGTGTGACCCTGGCTATCTCCGTGTGGATGTTTTCTCATCTGCAAAATGAGGAAAAAATGGAAACAGCTACTTCCAGTGGTGATGGCGAAGATTAAAGACGTTCATACACTCCAAATCTGTTGGGCAATGTTCATTCAGTGCTGTTTAAAATAGGATTATACGTAATATCATCTTGGCATGCCTGACTTTTTTCTAACAAGCTATCTTTTTCGAATGAGGCAGCACCTGTTCCTTCTTCCTCTTCCCCCCACGCTTTTTAAAAAAACCCAAAACACAACACAAACCACAGGGAATCACGACACGCTACTTCTCCTAACACTTTCATCTATTTTTTATTTACTGTATTATGCATTTACTAAGAGCCGCAGTCCCAGTGACTTAGTGGTAAAGGACGGTGCCGTCAACTGAGAGGCGTGACTGTGGAATTTTATCAGCTGCCCCACAGGAGAAGGATGGCCAGTCTCCTCCCGGGTGATTTACTGGCTTTGGAAACCCACTGGGGGCTCCGCCGTGGGCTGCCTCAATGGCACACATCAACAAGAGGAGTGGAGTAGGGAGTTCTGACCGCTTGTGGGTAAGGAACTGGGCTGTTCCACCAACTGCTGGGAGAAAGATGAGAAATCTCCTCCTGGTTATTTAAAGCCTCTGAAAACCTGCTAGAGGATCTGCTCCGAGTTGACTGTGACTCGACCGCACATAACAACAAAAGCAAAAGAAAAACAAACAGTGCAACAATGAATGAATGAAAACCCAAAATCTCTGTAAATGTTCATTAAAACTAAGAAAATAAAACAATAAATTTAAAAAAAAAAGAAAACCGAAAAGCAACATAACCACCCACCCCCTGTATTTGAGAGTTAACACCCAATACAAAAAGCACTTGCTTTGCAGCCAGAGGGTATGGGTTCAAGTTCAGACTACTAAAATCATAGGCAAGTTACAAACAGCATTAGAGCCTTCTAACGGCGTGTAAATTAGGTATGGAAATCACAATGAGCCCCACCTACCTTGATGCCCCCAAGATCACAGTGATGAAGTGTTTTTACCCTCTAAAACTTTGGGGAAGTAACCCATGGCTGGTTATTATGGAGGAGTGCAAGGTCAAGGTTAAGGTCTGGAATGGGACCAATGGGGTTGAAATTATTTTTTTTAAATTATTAATTTCAATGAAAATTTACAGAGACTTCGGATTTCCATTCATTCATTGTTG